CATTTGTTTGTTCTATGCAGTTTGAAATAATGTTCAACAGGCCAGTTGAGTTTTAAGGCTCTCAACCCTGGCTTTGTAAAATAGGAGCTTTGTTAAAAATGAGCACGGCAGTGACTAGCATCGTAACGCTTTAAAAGGTCAAAATGTCGCTCACCTTTTAATGTTAAATATTTTGTTACTAACGCAGAAAGGCCCTCTACAAATCATCATCATCATCATCATCCTATTCAACGCCTCAGTCAGAAAAAAGAGAAAGAGATTAAAAAGAAGTTAGTCCCAGAAAAGACAATGCAAGACAGCATGAAAAAGTTCAAAAACGAAGAAGCGCACTGTGGTTCAATACCAAGGCAGGAAAGTGCGATGGGGGGAGGGAACCGAAAATCTCACTTTTCAGAAAGCTGTTTATATTCATGCAACAGTAATCTTAATCTTTGGCGGGAGATCATGGAGGAACAAAAGAGAAACAATAGGTTATTGGAAGAACTCATTGAATTACACAATGATATTAAAACATACCTCCAGAAAATCAGCAATTTATTAGGGGTCTTTGCACCAAGCCTTTTCGTGAATGGGCATCAGAAATCAGATTGTTCATGTATTTGACATTGACATACTCGTGTCAATCATCTAATTGAATCATGCTGTAACTCAAAATTGCCCGCCTATGAGCTCAAGTCAATAATCAGTACCACCCTTCCCCCAAACCACCACCCAACCCTCACCCACAGCCGTGTGTAATCACACAAACATGCACACAGACACTAATCCACAAATGTGCAAACATTAGCATCGCCTCCAGGACATATTCTGTGAAAAACCCAATCCTGCTTTCTCTCAGCCATCAGCTGCATGTTATCAATTAGTATATTCTGCCAACTGGTACCAAGTACAGTTAAACCAGTAGAATGCACCATTGTGCAAACAAACTGCTACTAGCTACATCATCAGTAGATATATAACCATGGAGCATGGTTACTTTCATTGTCTGATTCAAAATGCTCTCTTGTGTGCAATCTAATTTTGCAAGGGCAGAATCATAATAGTAGTGCTGGGTGTTGTCAGTTGGAATGAATACCCATAATCACACTCCACCAAAATATAATGATAATGACATTCAGGAACTCCCTGCAAAGCACTGCCAATGTTTTGATGACTCTTGTGAACACGAACTAGAGATTGTGCTTGTAGATGCTCGACTGTCAGAACAGACAACTTCTTTCCCACTGTGCTAGAGGGTACAGAATTTTGCCTTTACATTTAGCAGTTTGTCATGATAATAAAGTTCATGTAACACCCTGTAATAATGTGTTATGTTTCATTGTTAAGAAAACACATCAATAAATTGAGTTTTCGACTTGCCAAATAACATTTACTCAACACTACTTGTTAGCTGACATACAGTTCCTAATTCACCTTCCTGTCTGAATATGCCATCAAGTATTTTTTTTGAATTGGAATGCTTGCTCAGTCATAATAGATGGGTTGTTAATAGAACAAAACTGCAGCCAGCATGAGGAACTAGTAACACAGGCTTGTGAGCATTTGAAGAGGAATAACTATTTGAAGGTACTTCTTGTCTGAAGAAATGGCATATTCTAAATACTTCTCAAGCGTATATAATTCGATGAATGTTGACCTGCAGTCACTGCCTCTCTTCTGTGTAATGTGCAGTATGTGAAAGGCAAGTTTTGAACTATAGGGACTGTTTGAGGGCACTTGAAAGCCAAAGGCAGGTGGAAGAAGGAAAATAAGAAAAATTGTTTTAGAGACTCAGGAATAAAGCAAAACTATAGGAAGATAATAGGCAATCCACAGTATCTGCCATTAATGAGAATCAGCTTTGAAAATGTGTGCAAACATTCAACTTCCCATGGCCAACATTGGGTTCACAAACCTGTCCACAATAAGCTGTATTGAGAAATGATGGGTAATAATTAATTTAACAAAGAATTGATATTATCCACATTGTTTCCATACTTTTCCTTTCGTACATGGGGAAATAGACAGAAATATGTAAAAATAAAGGTAAATTTTGTGCTACAATGTTCCCTGTGTGATATCAAGACAGTTTAAAAGATTAATGTCAATGAGCCTGATTCAGTGTAGTCACAATTTATTGGTATTAAAACTAGGTTACAAAAATATTTGGCAGTTCATTATTTCATTAGCAAATGAAAACTGCCATAAGAGTAGAAAAAGCGTATGGAACACCAACAGGCTATTCAGCTTCTTGAGCCTATTCTGTCATTCAGTTAGGTCATGAGTGATCTGGATCTGAGATCCATTTACCAGACATTCACCCAGGCCAGTAACTGTGAAAAATTGGAAATAGAAAATTTATTTATGTTCTTCCCCAATCCCCTAAAGTAGTCAGCAAGGTTACAAAGTTTCATAAATCTTTTAACTGTCTCCACAGTCAGTACCTCCATCTCCTCAATCCCAACAGTTTGTGACCTATGGTGCCCCATTAAATATTTATCTTCCTCTATAAACCTCAATCCTATCCAAACCAACATGGTCCCATTCATATCCAGCTCCTTTTTATCATAGTTTACACCTGCCTTTTAATCACCAGTATTTTTCCCCTTCCCCAATTCTTTCTCGGTCAGATGCCCCTTCAGCACTGTTCTCAAAATTATTGTTTCACGGTAATTGTCTAATATGAGCATCAGTGGCTTTTTGTTCATTAGGCAAAATAGCTCATGTCCTGTGTCCTACATATGCTGGATTAAAAGAGCTCAAATGCAAGTCAATTTATTACTATTCTTCAGCCAAGAGATTAAGTCGAGCTGTTTCTGCCTTACCAGTACTCTGCCTGACACCATTAGAACAGAAGACCTTCCCCATTATTATAAAAATCACATCAAAGGCACATCAAATTTTGAACACAATTTCCATACAATCTTCTGTGAGGAATGTCAAATCTCCTTAGTGTCAGATGTGTGACGACGCCATGGCTTTAAGATGTTATTTTGTCCTTTTTTATTTTGAAAAGAGGTTGTAAGACAGAGGTGACAAGCAGTCTGCCATAACCAGTCAAGCAAACAGCTTCTGAGGCCTTGGGTTTTTCTTTAAAGTTGGAACAATAGAAGCAGCCTGGCTGGGTGTGATCAGTTCTCACAGACCAGGATCTCTAGTTTTCATGTTTAGCTTTAAGCAGTTGCTGTTGTGGGCTTGAAGAAGTAGAAGCTATTTCTCCTTCTCTCAATTACAGCCAAAAACTGGGGGTTCTCTTCCTAGACTACTCGATTACATGTGAGACAAAATCTGTTCTTCTGAATTTGCCTTTTTGTCAAAGGTGTGATAGTGGGATATTACTATATTGGAATAGTTAATAGTACTGTATTTATTATTCTGTTAAGTTTTTCAATAGAGTTGTTATTTTAAATTCCTCTTTCTTGATTGTATTTTAACTATAGTGTTTAAATAAACTGTGTTTTGCTTCACATTGATTAGTTTGACCAGTCACATTGCATCTGGAACACAGCACTTTACACTTGCCTTAAGTATTAGAAAAAGTTCGGGTCTAGGCTATCTTCTTAAAATATTTTGAGGGGGTCTGGTCAGGTCCATAACAGACGATTGTTGCTGATTTTCCGACCTATGACTTCCAATTACAAACAGTCCATCTAAACAGGTTACTTAACATTTGTATCATTGTGCAACTTTTTGTATTTTAAAGTCCTGAATAACAAGACCTGTCAATACGTTCTCTCTACTGAAAGCAAACAAAAGTTACTTGAACATTTACTTCTAACGTTAAACCTTTAAAATTCTATGAAGGCTAATCAGCTCCAAACTTATTATGAATGTATTTGAAAAGGAAGAGATTAAGATGTTTCCACTTGTGACAGAGACCAAATCTCAGAACTATAAATTTATAAAAATCACGAAAATCTGTTATGAAATTCAGGAGAAATAATCAGAGAGTAGTTAGAATATGGATCTTGGTATCACAGAGTATTTGAGGTAAATAGGTCAGATATGATTAAACGTGGCTCAGTACCACACGAAGGAAGATGAATAGAAAGGATATATTGATAGGATTAGAAATGCAATGAATGGACGCTAGTGCTGTATAAATCTCAGCATGAATCAGTTGGATTATGTGTTTGTGTTACTGTATATTTTATATGATTCTATGTAATCAAAGGTGGGACCATTCTATAAAGCCTTTCGGTTATCAATTTGAATGAACTGCTGAACACAGTTTACTGCATAAAAACACCATTTGTTGCAAACTTATCCAAACATTGTTAGTCAGTGTACTCCAGCAATCTAACTGATGAACTGAAGTTCACTTCAACTGGCTGCACAGTATAAACGGCTAAACACCACAGTTTCAAATAGTTTTTTTTCATGTACTTGGCATTCTAACTTGATGGCAGCATTATTTTGTTAGTGGAGAGGTGCATGTTACTGTATTACTGCATGTTGCCTGGCCTAACATGATTTTGCAGAAATTAGATACTCTCAATAGTTCTCATTAACCACAGAAGACAAACTAAAATATTTAGAAGTGCACGGAAGGACAAAACTTCACAAGAGTTCTGATTGTGTAGATAGATATGAGCGTTTATACACCATTGTGTCACAATCTGTTATCAGTGATGTCCTTATACAATCTGCACTAGGGTCTTATCTGAATAGTAAAAGCAATCAGTTAATCCCAGTCATGTGTCAACAACATTTACCATAAACTGTCACGACCTCCTTGTCTGCTATTTTCCCATTAGGTGTCTTATCTTTAGTTTGCTGCATTCTTCTCCTAGAATGAGGCAATGAGGAGAGATCAATAGGTTTATGGACTGTACACCATGCAATGTATAGTTGTTGCAGCATAACAGAAATAACTCTCAATTAAGTCCCATATCATGCAGGTAATTTTAAAAAAACCTTGAACAGGGTAAGATTAACTGAGAGGAGAGAAGTGAAAAGGAAATGGAAAATCTTAAGTTTTTTTGTCTTCATTGATATTGTATTAACTGTGATTCTTCCAGGTGCTGAGTCAGATGCATCTTCACCTATCCCTCAACCTGTTTCTGTTAGTCAGACGAGCAGGAGATCTTTTTCTCGTGAAAGACAAAAACACAGGCCTGTTAAAGTCAAAGGACCATACACAGGTAAAAGGGCTATGAATTTTATTATGTGCTAAAGAATGATTTTACAACTGAATGAATTTGGTAATACTGCTCTGAAGCCCTACCGATCACATAATGGTATAATGTTTCCCTGAGGCCAGATGCTTTCCTACCTCCTACTCTCCTCTGACTGGACTGTTAAGAGATAGGGCATATTCTTAGGCTTACTCAGCTCCCACTAGAAGATCATGGATCACAGGCACCATCAGCCTCCTGATCCACTTAGACAGTAAAGGATTGGATGGATAGATGCCATCCTACAAGAGTTCCATTCCATCAAATTGCCAGGGATAAAAACCTGTGATTCACTGATCTCAAACTAAGTGACTGCATATTCTATTGTGGCAACTTTAATTCATCTCTCAATGGGAAGCAGATAGGCAAGCTGTTCAAATTTACATTTCCTGCTCCATTTTTGCTGATCAACTTTAACTGGTCTTGACAGGGTTGAGAGACTTGTGTATAAATACCAATCCAGGTCTAATGATTTCTATTGCATTTCAAATGAGACCAGACCAGGCCGAACTGAGCCTGCAATCTGTGGGACAGATGACAAAGGCCTCAATGTTGAGTGTAAAATTTCCTTTGTGGAGCCAGGAGGAGTGAATGTGTTATTCTGGGCCCCACATGGAAGCCTCCCTAGCCCTGGATCCCACCTCCAGTCTCTTCTGAGATCCACACGGATATTTACGACCTCCTTTGTATTAGATCCACCCCGCCCTTTCCTTTGCCTTCATGAGATCATTTCATCACCAATTGATCTATTGTTGATTGAAGGTTTAGACAAAGCGTGGCCCCATCCTCTGTGTGGAGCTGGAGGAGCACAGCAGGCCAGGCTTTGTCTAAACCTTCAATCAACAATAGATCAATTGGTGATGA